GGGGGGGGGGGGGGGGGGGGGGGGGGTAGTTTCTGCTTTGTCCGAGCAGGAAGGCTCTCCTGTCAACCAGCACACCAGAGCCTGCTGTCACCTACATCCTAGAGACTGTTGTCGCGTACACGTCGCGTACAACGGATTCCATGGCTACTCGAAGAAAGCAGTAGCAAAGACTCTACAGCACCACTCTGCAGTATGACCTGGAGGAGTGTATAGAGGAGACTGCTGTGACCTACATTTAGCGTACGACGGGCTCCATGGGCAAGCACCAGAGGAGGCTCTATCAAGTGTGTTACTGCTGAACAAGGTTCCCCGTTCCGGGAGGTCGGAGCATGCCTCCCGGGGGTGACACAAGTCGGTAAGACCTAACTACACCTGGACTGCTGTGCCGTCTTATTCTTTGGAGGAAGACAATCACCATCATGGCGCGTTGACTACGATACACCAACCCGGTACGATCGGGGCAATGCACATTCGTCTCTTCTCACTCTCAGAACGTTACGGAAAATGACGTTGCCGAGGTTCCAAACCGCATCGGAAAATACACCCCCCAATAACAAGTGTACTGCTGTTTTCTACCGTAGAACAGTTAATTGGTTAGGCACATCATCTGCGTGGCTTGCGATAGCCGCATTTAGCTATGCATGCAATATGAATGCTGCTGTACCACAGCAATACTGCCGAATATTTGGTTTGCACGGTGTAGAGTTGGGACCGCCTTGTTGTGTGGGCGTCTACATACCACGGGTGAACCTGTGGTGTGACATGCAAGAAAATACGGCCTACCTGGGAGCAGGGTGGCGACACCATTATCGACCGAGTGGTTGTGGTACAGTTTGTTGACGCCGTCGGCGAGATAAGGGTGGTCTTTCCGTGGTCCGGTCATGGGCCATCGGATCGTCACCTGACGATATGCATCGACGGACCAAGAATAACGGCATGGGACCGGGTTTGGACCGCCGCGGTGGTTCGTCGACGTTACCGTTGGGGGCCCCTTCGACATCTATCGTATTGGACGAACGTCCCACTTGTTGACATGGGTCCTTCTTACGTATCGCCGAGACAGGTGGCATATCGTCGGCCTCGCACTGGGACTCTCGTCAACCCTAAACGCCCATGCCTTGCGCGCAGCCCAAACTTGCTTGCGCAGGCAGGCCAACCACCCTGAACCATACTCCAACACACCCGACGGTAAACGGGCTCGTCGACGCAATGATGAGCGGTCTATACTCTCACCGAGAACGGACAGCCGATTCTTAGCGATTTCCTCGGCCTAACCGTTTTCCCTCCGTCGCCTGGCATTAGCGTGCAAGAGGGAGTCCGGAAACGTATATGTTACCAGGGCATAGGGGCAAGACATTGCTACGGGCAACGTAGCAATGTACGGACAACGTAGGATTCGACAAACGCGGTTGTACGCCCTCCGAAGAGGTTGACTCATCGTTAGAGGCCTAGGGGTATCGAATCCTCATACCACATGCGAATACGCAGCAACAGGCGAGTTACGTGCTGGTGTCATCCAGCCACTCCAGTCACAACGTACAAGATCCAGGGGTATCCACACGACAGTTATTTGGTATCCCGATATGTCCCGCTACACGCCCTAGTACAAACACAGACATTCCGCCCGCCATTACATGCAAGGTAGTTAAACGGGCAGGCGATCGACTCGAGGGACTCTCTCGCGACCGAATTGATCAAGTGGGCTTCCAGCGACAACGAATCTGATATTTACTAAACAATACGCATGGGTTCCCTTCTTGTACCGTGTAAGCCTCACCTCCACCGTTTGCCGCACGAGCCACCTGTCGATTGGGCATCCCGTATGGGCACCTTAGCTGCCTGAGCACCAAACGAGGCTCAGCTCCCTTGCTCCTACGGGACTGGCTCGTTGCCAACCGTTTCCCTGCCTTTCCGCACGCTTGCTTCACCGCGTCCGAGACGCCATCCACAGTCATACCCTCCAGTGGAATAGCCCGAAGCTTTTCACCCAATCCCTCGGTGATGTACACCCTAGGATTACCCTAAAAAACAAACGAAGCAACACACGAAACATTGCAGAACGACATGGGCGTTTGGCTTCTGTCCCTTCCACCTAGCTAGGTTTTCAACGTTGGGTTAAGCGAACTCCGCCCCTGCTTACCCGATCGCTCCCCAATACAATAAATACTGAGTTCGATTGTTGGACACGTGCATGTCGGGGTAGTCACCACCCCATGTCGACTGCAGAACGGTGCCCGGAGATAAAATACGTCGATTTTGGGGGTCTCCATTTCTAGTTTCTACGCCACTGTCGAGGGCAACGAAACCGAGTTTTGGTGTAGGATCCACCACTGATCTACGTTTTCTTTGTTTTGTTTTTTCCATTGTTTTTCGTGAAGATGTGAGCCTCTGTATACCTACGGTTCTGCGCATGCCCCCCAGGAAATTGACGTCAGTGGGCGTTCGTTTTTTACACAGTGTCGGACTGGGAATCGAAAAGTTTCCAAGTAAGGAGGCACATTTCGAGACTAGAAAGTTTCCGGGAAGCATCATGCTGGTTACTGTTTACAGAATTAAGCGACTTGATGTCAGTAGCAGTGGGGCAACAGTCCTACTATCACACCCAACGGACTTCCTCTGTCCGCACACGGGCAGCAGTCCTTAGTGGGGTGCGCTGGGTGGCAGCAGCACGCAGCCTTATGGTAGCGCTCCCACTGCTATGTAGGGTGTGTGCATGCAAATGCGTGTGCGTGTCTGTGTCGCACCCTGAACCCCGGGACACGAACTCCCACCAGTACGGAGACAGGTAGCTCATGATGAGCCGCGGAGACGGAAGCGCGACCGTTCTTTCGCCTCCGTCCGAGGAGGGGAAAAACAGCCTCTATCTACCGGGGTGCCAAGTCTACATACAAGACGCCCGACTTTTCCATCCTTTTCGACCAGCACGTGGTCTATAGAGCACCGATTGACGATTTGTTGGCATGTGACGAACAAGAAAAATAGGGCGCTCTTCACCACACACGTTGCCTCGGGCCCCGACAGCAGATGACCGTGTCTCACCAGCATTTCTACCCCAAAACCAAACGCGGTTGCTTGGCGCACACAAGGAGAATGAGGACGAGCAGTCAGCGAACCACGCAACACCGCCGGGATCGCCAAGACAGCACTACTGGCGGGGTAAGGGAGACATACACGGAGCTAGTGGCGGATGTCATTGTCATAGCTTGATGTAGCCTAGAGATGTGTGGAGAGGGGTCATCCGTCGATATATGGAGACTAAAGATAATTATACGAACTGGTACCAGTAGACGCGGCGGTTTGTTTACGGGCTATCCCACACTCTCCAGCTCACTTTTATTTCTTGGCTTCGTGCAGTTCATCCGCCTGGTCTGTATCAATCACCACACAATTCGATTTTTTCAAGCAGCCACAGCCAGACTGATGGCTGATATGCTTGCACGTTACTATTCTAGTCGACTTGTACGTAATACTTTACACAATTTCATGTATACGTTTTTTCGTACCTTGCCAGTGACTGCAAACATTGTGGGTATCAATGTACCTACGATGCGGAATTCATACTGGAAGAAAGTGGAGCTGGGTATTTGGAAGCGAATAGATACGAAGGACTTTTCTTGTTAGATTAGCTTGCGTGTTATCTTGTATTGTGTTTGTTTTGATTACGTTTCGCTTTATTAGAAAGTGTTTCATGCTGTTGTTCAACAATTCCTGAAATGTTGTTATGTTGTGTTCGTACACCGTAATGTCTAAATGATCAAAGGACGCTGGAATGTAATTAATGACGTAAAATTCCCGTTTAATTTGCTTTTTGCGCTAACAAACCTGCACACACTACTTTATTAGGAGCTTTATAGCTAATAGCGATGCGAAAATCTGTGGGCAACCGCATATTTGACCGTCGAAACCGCAAGGGGGAACACTGAAAATGAAACGTGTCCCTTGCAATTAAGATAATCGATTTCTGTGCACCTTTCATGAAAAACTCCCATACACCCAGCCAGGTGACAACGGAAAAATTGGGAATTCCGACAAATTCCGCTGAACCAGAAATCAACACTTCAAAGAGCCAGCCAGCCACATCTATCTGCTGAGAGGAGCACGCATGCAGTCATTCCGTTTTTAGCTCAGCTACCTACCTCTCTTGGATTGCGGAGCTAGCCGGCATTTCGGATCCAGCCGTTGTGCGATACTAATCATCTCCGATAGGACTTGAGGAGGACGGACTGTAAAGCTGTAGTAGCATACTGCACTGCGTCTGCTCCTTGCTGCTGCTCTTGGCTGACCGAGGACTTCGAAAATCCCCACAGGTACGAACAAACTCCTTTATGTGTGGTCGAAGGATGGACTGCGCTCCTTTGTGTGTGGTCGAAGGATGGACTACGCTATGTACACCATGCATAACATACTGCAGCTGCCTTCACCT